TCGATTGCTTTTGTGTTGTTTTATCATTGACTGACATTTTAGTGAGGGGGATTAAATGCATCCCTCACTTTCCTCTTTTGTTTTTTTAACTTTGTGTCGAAAATAAAAATGAATTCAGTGATTCTGATATCAGTGCATTGGACGGGGATTTCACTGTTGTGCTGTTAAGCCCATTCTAGATTCAGGCAGCTGAATAACGTCTGTCTTAAACAATTTTTAGGCTGCAGGTTATTCCTGCAGAGAGAAAAAAATAACATAAAGGACTTGTTCAGATGCCTAAAGATATCAGAAGTGTTCACTTAAACTGTTTTATCCAACAAAGACCCTACAAAAAGTGCAAGTAACTCATTTGTGGTAACTTTTCTAACAAATAAATGCAAAAAATAAATACAATCCTGACGCAATATAACATTTTTGAATTTGTATAAATGTAAAAACCATATCAACGTGTGTTGCATTTGGTGAAAGTTTCATAAGCATACATTTAGACAATTTCACTTTCTTTTCTGATTACATGGCGGATGCCTTTCCATATGCAACCCAACACTAGGAAACACCTATACACTCTTGCATTCACACTCATACACTTTCACGTTTAATTAAAATAAATGATCAACAAATTAATCTGTCTTGACAGTCTTTACAAGTGAAGGAATTATCTATAAACAATATGAATTACCAATAGAAAAATACTGCAAACTATAAAATACTATTCATGAAAATACTTAAATAACAGCCAAATCCAAATGCCCAACACAAGCAAGCTGCGCTCCAGGCCAGATCAGCTTGATGACGTATAATGTCTCCGACACCGCCTGTAGTCCCATTTAGCAACTTGATAGCAACCGTCTTTTTAAAGAAGCATAATCGATTTAAAAAAATCAAGAGTGTGCTGTAACTGATGTGTTTTATGTTGTAGAATAAAACGTGAAAGTATCTAGAGTTTGTGTCAGCCATGAACCTTGTTTAAGAATTTTAACTGAATCCTATTGAAAAAAACCCATTGACTTTGGGACGAGGGAACCCGAAGTGCTAAAATGCTAACTCGCTTCCGGGTTTTTGCATACACATTGACGTCATTGTTCCTCCACTCTATAGTGCATGTGTTTGGACTGTGGGGGAAAGCGGAGCACCCGGAGGAAACCCACACCAATGCGGGGAGAACATGCAAACTCCACACAGAAATGCCAACTGACCTAGCTTAGGCTCGAACCAGCGACCTTCTTGCTGTGAGGCGATCATGCTACCCACTGCGCCACTGTGACTCCACATTTAGACAATGTTAGACATTGATTTATTTTTCATGTACACTATGTCCGAACACATATAGAAGTGTCGAGTTGTTTTCCTTTAACGCTTTAAGTGTGGTTTATACCTCTGCATTGAGTGATCGGCATGACCCAAGTTTAGTTCCAACACCAATCAGACACACCTGGGCTAGCTAATCAAACTCTTACTAGGCTTTCTAGAAACATCCTTGCATGTGTGTTGAGGCAGGGGTTCTCAAACTTGGTCCTGGAGGGCCGGTGTCCTGCAAGGTTTAGTTCCAACCCCAATCAGAAACACCTGGTCTGGCTAATCAAGCTCTTACTAGGCCAGGGGTGCTCAATCCTGTTCCTGGAGATCTACCTTCCTGCAGATTTCAGTTGCAACCCATACCAAACACACCTGAACCAATGAATTAGGACCTGAACACCACTTGATAATTACAGGCAGGTGTGTTTGATATAGGTAGCAACTGAAATCTGCAGGAAGGTAGATCTCCAGGAACAGGATTGAGCACCCCTGTACTAGGCTTTCTAGAAATATCCATGCACGTGTGTAGAGGCAAGGGTTCCTAAACTCTGTCCTGGAGGGTCGGTGTCTTGCAAAGTTTAGTTCCAACCCCAATCAGACACACCTGGGCTAGCTAATCAAGCTCTTACTAGGCTAGGGGTGACCAACCCTGTTTCTGGAGATCGACTTTCCTGCAGATTTCAGTTGCAACCCATATCAAACACACCTGCCTGTAATTATCACGTGCTGTTCAGGGCCTAATTAATTGGTTCAGGTGTGTTTGGTCAGGGTTGGAGCTAAACTTTGCAGGAAGATCGATCTCCAGCAACGGGGTTGAGCACCACTGTACCAGGCTTTCTAGAAACATCCTTGCACGTGTGTTGAGGCAGGAGTTCCCAAAGTCGATCCTGGAGGGCCGGTGTCCTGCAAAGTTTAGTTCCAACCCCAATCAGTGGTTGACCACACCCTAAGCTCTTACTAGGCTTTCTAAAACATCCTTGCACATGTGTTGAGGCAAGTTGGAGCTAAAATCTGCAGGACACCAAGAGTTTAAGAACCCCTGCTCTACAATGATAACAGAATATATCAAAATAAAGGGTTTTCATTTTTGCCTGTGATATTCTATGTTGACTCATTATTTGTAGTTATCTAACACGTTGATGTGTGGTGCAAGGCTGGGTGCCGCTGAGTGCGGTGAGGTTCTGCGTAGACCCAATTCATCAGTTTCAGGGTTGAGCTGTTCTTGAGCTCGGTGGATAAGCAGAGACTTTTTCCACTGAAAACAGAAAGCCGCTGCCTTTGCTGCTTCAGAGTTTGGCTCAGGTTGTTTCAAACCCTAAAAAAACAAAGAAGCATTTAAAACAGCAAACCCTAGCGTGACAAATACCATTCAAGACCAGATAAACAGTCAATCAGTCACTTACCCTGATACATGCGGTTTCTGCAGCTCGAACTCCTTGGATAACAGTCTGAAGCAGATTCTGTGCGTTTTTCACCAGGATCTCGTCTGAAGACTTGCACCCAGGAGTAACTGCATTAACACTGGAGAGACACCATGCACCCCTCGGGTCACATGACGTTTTTGCTTGTTTAATTTGAGAGTAACATTGTAAATGCATTATCAAATGTGGCAGTGATGTACGGTAGGAAAGAAAGAAACCCTAAAAGGTTAGTTCACCCAAAAATGAAAACTACTTCTTGATTATCAGTTGTCAATTACTCATCCTCATGTTGTTTCAAATCCCTGAGACCTTCGTTCACATTTAGAACACAAATGAAGATATTTTGGGTCAAATCTGAGAGCTCCCTCATCCTTTGCAGCATTCCCAACTCATTCAGAGTCCATAAAAATACCCAAAACAAATTCTCAAAACAGTCAATATGTATTAAGTGGTTCAATCAGGATCATATCAAGCTGCAAGTAAAATATTGTGCGCTGAGGAAACCAGAATAATCACTTTATTCAACAGTTTCTTCTCCACAGTGTCAGTATAGGGTTGCCCCATTCTTTATCTGTGTATATTGATTTCTTTTCATTGTATATTATTTAATTTCTGTAACAAGCCTGAAGACAAGCCCCCTAAAATAATACATTTTAAAGCTTTAAGTTGAAGGTCATTTTGTTTGTAAATGTTATATTTTGGGGGAAAAAGTTTCAAACAGAGGAATTAGCATCCGAAGTATATATACAGTACACGTCAGTGCATAACACTATCATGAATGCACCCCCTATACTGACACTGTTGCAGTCATTATGTTTGTTTTATTTGTGCACAAATGTTCTCTCGTAGCTTGATGATATTCCAATTGAACCACTGTAGAGTTCAAGTTCAGACTGCATGATTTTAGCCTCGATTGTGACTCGCCGACAAGTTTTGAGGAATCGGCGAAAAATGTCTGAAATCACAGGCAAATAGGTGCTCGATTACGTGAGTAACAATCACACATTGTGAACTATCAAAGACGCGATCTGAGAGAATCGCCGATGAGTTCAAATTCAAGCCGTGTGAAATGTGTTCTGATTGAAAATGACATCAGAAATTACCTACAGCCAATGAGAGAGCAGCATCCACTAATATGGGTATCTGCAGGCCAGCAGGAAGTTTATTGAGGGAAAAGCGCTTATTTTCAGTTGATTTGGACCCAAGAAATGGAAGAAAAATTAGTGTAAGTTTGTCAGGAGCACCTGTGTCTGTTTGATGTGTTATCTAAGCAATACCACAACCGGGTCGAAAAAGAAAAAAAAGTTAAAAGAAAAATTGTCAATTCCCTTCAAAACCCAGGTAAGCTAAATAAGTACATATACCCCACTAAAAATTTCTTTTTCATTATGTAGCTAATAACAAAAAACAAATTTATACTGTATAACTTCACATTGTTTCCATTTCACTTCTTGACTGAGTTTGGTTGTGAGACGTAGTTTGCCAGCCGAGACAAAGTTGTTAGCAATTCTCCTATGGTAAAGCCATGCATTGTGAAACCCCTGTCGCTGATCCATCTTGCAGTGTAAATGTACTCTGAGCTGGTATTGAACCAGCAACCTTCCGCATGGGATTCGGTTGCTCTAACAAGGAGGCCTCTAGTGTCTGTGGCTAGAGCACCTTTAGAGGTCAGAGAAGTCAGGTTTACCTGCACAGCACTCACTAGCTGGCCTCCATTACACTCATTCCCCTAAACCTCACTCCCATCCCGGTCACGGCACCAATGTAACCCCGCTGGTTCTACGCCACCCAACCCACTCCGAGCCGGTATCTAACCAGCAACCTTCCGCATGGGAGTCGGTTGCTCTACTAAGGAGGCCAAGACCATGGCCTCTAGCGTCTGTGGCTAGAGCACCTTTAGAGGTCAGAGAAGTCTGGTTTACCTGCACAGCCCCTACTGGTTGGCCTCCGTTACATAAACATATCAGCGATGGAATGCTACCTCATATGTTTATGCAGTGTGAAAACATCCGTGATGTGGCTACTTTAAAAATCATGCAGTCTGAACTCGGCATTATGAACTTTGAATTAGTCGGGACCATTGCTGTGTATGTAGCATTTCATACAAAATATCTTAAATGTGTGTTCTGAAGAAGAATGAAGGTCAAAGTGGTTTGAGTTGTCATGAGGCTGAGTAATTACTGCCAGAATTTTCATTTTTGGGTGAACTAACCGTTTAAGATGCAGCAAGAAAGAAAGAGAGACCTTCCAACAGACCTAAAGAGTTTTGCCATTGATTGTCTCTTACCTTGAAATGATGGTAAGTTGGTTGGAAATGGTAAGAATCTGCTCTGCGATGACGCATAGTTCCTCTGTGCAGTGCTTGTCTAAACAGTGGTCTGCAATGACACGCACAAACTGGGTGATCGACTGACCGCTTGAGATGAGGTCTTTCGCTGATGTAACAAAAGCATCTTTGCTCTAGAAGAGAAACACGTGTGTCAGTATGGGATTCAACTTTTGTGGGAAAAGAAAATGTAAAGGTTTCTGACCTGTATTGGCCCTTTCTTCTTTAGGTACTGAGCCATGTAATAGAGTTTATCTGCCATTTCTTTTGTGACTTTTACTATCTGGTTACCTTGGTCATCCCACTTCTCAGTCTCCCGCTTCAGAAATAAAGACGTGTAAGAGAGAGTGGAATCTACCAATGTATACACTGGACGCCTTGGGCTTCTTGGGGATGTCTCTTCCTGCGGTAGATAAGTTATTTTTTACATTGCTTGTTCTTGGAAAAGCAACTAAAGACTGAACAGACCAACAAAACAACCCGTCAGGTGCAAAGACCTAAAAAAATCCCAAGGTTAAAGTTGCTGCACACCAAGTCTGCACACTCACAAATTAAAAAGACAGAATCGAGATGAAGTGATACAAGCAGTTTACAGAACAAGGCAAATGTTTTAGTCGTGGCATATTTGATGATTTAAAAATGTTCAATATTTATTTAGTTCAAATTGTTCATGGTTTCATTTGCTTGGTCTGACTCCATAAATGTAGATAGCTGACAGGTAAACCATTGTTGTCTTGGCATTGACAGTAGTCAACTTGATCAAAACATTTGCCTTTATTTGAGTAAATTGCTAATATCACTTCATCTGGCTTTAGTCTTTTTGATTTTTGAGAGCGTAATGACTGTTTTCGGTGACATTACCTAATCTAAAATGACCTACATAATTGTTAGCATCGACAAATTTACCTTGTTTGGTTCCTGATTGGACACGTCTTGGACACTTGGTTTACTTTTAGTGGGTTCTTGATTACTTATGGATATAGGACGTAGTGGTTTCTTTTGTGTGAAACTTGCTGGTGGTCGGGACATGACAAATCCACCAAACTCTTTGCCCTGCAAGCAAAACTTGATCTGTTCTTTTGTGACTTCAAGAATACCATCGACTTTGCAGATTTCTTCAACAAGGTAATGCGCCTTGCTGGACCAACACTGTGACTGAATATCAAGAGTGAGAGTATCTCCAAGAGTTTGTGTCTCTGCTATTAATCTGGCTCTACTCACAATGTCTGACATTTGAAAAGTCAGGTGGTCATTAATAAACCTCAGATTGGACCTCTCCTTTGGGTCTCGAATGAAGTTGAAACAGTCTTCGATGGACTCTGTGGCACTCTTTACATTCTGCATAAGCAATTCTGCAGCACTTTCGAACTGTGCCAGAGTATTTTCAGCTTCCATGTCACTGTATTTTGCTTGTACAGAACATGCCAAAGTAATGGTGTTTCGAATAGCTTTTCCATAATCTTGGTTAACTTTACTCAAGAGGCAAGACAGTGCTTTCATTTTAACCTGAAGTTGTCTCTGAAGCAGCTCTGACTTTGCCAGAATCAGGACACTTGAGATGGACACCGTACCAACCTCTTCAGCAGCCTGTAAATATGAATCTGTAAGTGTCTTTACGTCTTCCTGTAGTTCTCCTAGCAGTTTTACTTTATAGCTGTCTCGACAGTTCAAACAAGACAGTCTTGCAGCTTCTTGTATACGAAGGGAGTTCTCAGAGATTACTGCCAACCATTTCTTTGGTGTCATTTGATGAGCGAATGTCTTACCATCAATTGTAGCAATTCCAACTATCTTATCAAATGAGTTCAACAGTACTTGGATAGACAGTGCCCAAAGCATGCAGAGACCATCAAGCTCATCAGTCTGAGTTGGTCTTGATCCCACAATGTCTGTAAGATTCCTGGTGTTGGTTTGAGATTTTTGCAGTTTGCTTTGCAAAGACATCATACTCTCATGACACTCACCCATCACTTTTATATCCGCTGAAGTCACAAGTTGCACCGCATCAGCACACAAACACATGACCTCATTGAGCTCTTGATTGATGGATTCCAACATAGTGGGTACATAGTTTTGAAACATTGCCTGAATGGCATGGTACCACATCCCTGCAACTGGCAGCAGTATCTTACGAGCATTTTTGATGAGGTCAGAGAATTGGGTACTGTGTTTATAAACACTATCTGTACTCATGGCTGAACTCATGGCTGTTTCCTGTGCTGTCTGGATGAGTAAGGGTGTCAAGGACACAAGTTTGGACCGCAAGCTTTCCACTTCCTCATTATCAGCTGTGTTTATGACACTGGCGGCTTCTCTTGTGGCTTGCGCATAGCTGTTCGAAAGTCCTAGAACTCCACTACAGGCCATATTGAGAGCCTCTACATCTTTACCTTTGGTCATGCAGACAACTTCACACAAAAGTGGCAACAAATCAATATCATGAAGATGTATGTCAGCTTTAGATTCTAGGGCAGGTGTAGTCTGTGCTTCTTCGGAGTTTGACACATCATGCTCGCTTATTATTTGAGCATCCTGATTTACAAAATCTTTGTTGAACTGGCATGCTATTTCTTCATTTGTGGAACTTTGCACGGACAACTCGGATTCAGCTTTATCCGAGACTTCAGTTGATCTTGCGTTTTCTGAAATGGGGATAGCATATGGTGCAGGACTAGCAGATTGGCGGGCTCCTTCCCGGAGTGGGCTAAGCAAATGTGGATGCTGCAAACCATCCAGTCCCTCACGTAGAATGTCAAAGTGTTTAAAGGCTGTTGAGACACTAGTAGAGAGCATCGAGAAAGCCTCACTGCTAAGTCTGGTATTAGAATAGATATCAGTGACACAACATGTCACCTCGGCAGCAGATCCTTCTGCTTGCTTTATCAGAACCAGGAGTCCATTTCGGTAGATTGGATTGTCACTTATACTGACGTGTCTTCTAATAAGCTGGATTACCAAGCTCATGTGACTAATTAGCAAGTTTGCCTGTTTTTTGAGAATCTGCCCATTCTCATTTTTATATGCCTCAATGCACCCTATCCAGTTGCTCTCCATCTCCTGCAGTGCAAGGTAGACAAAATCTTTTATGTTTATTATGCTGCCACAAGCATGCAAAAGTTGCTCTATCTCCTCTGACCATCTCTGATGGACTTCTTTTAGTTTTTCCAAAGCTTCACTTGAACTCAGCTTGCCTTCTTCAAGATTTTGCACGAGCGTTGCAATTGCTTGTCTCAGTCTCATTATGCATCCCCTCGAGTTCTCTAGAGCCTCAAGACTCTTTTCATCACATGCTAAAGCTGAGATGAAGCTAGCCACCTCTGAAATCTTGTCAGCATGAGCTGTAAAAGATCCAAACTGCACCTGAAGTGCCTCCACATCAAGCTCATCTTGCTTATCCTGGATGCTCAAAGTGTGTATTAACTCTTCAACAGGAGTTGAACTGCTGACAAATATGTCCATTACTTGCAACTGTGTTGCCTTTGCCACGGCTTCATCAAGTTTATGGATTTGCTTCAATAGGGAAGCACATGTGTTTGCTAGCTGTTGGTCATCATAGCTTTTCATTTGTTGTGACATCTCAGACCAGACCTGAAGGACTTGTTTGGTGTGTGCAGCAACCTCAAACTGAATATCCCTCTGAGAAGTGTTTGCTACCGCCATGCTGTGGAATACTAAGTCATGAAGCATAATGTCAAAACCACCACCTTTAACAGAACTATGGTTAGAAAGCAATCTTATTAACTTGTTCCGTATTTCAGTGTAGTATCCACATGAGCCCGAAGGACATGGTTCACATTTGCTCTTGAGTGTGGTTATGATGCCATTTACAGTTGAATCCACCTGGTTTAAGATATACTGCTTTGCGCCCTGGGCCTCCTCGCTGTGTGGATGTTTGATGGTCGTGTACATGGCAGTGTGAAGCATGGAAACACATTTCTTCAGGGTTTCTAGAGAGGCCCTCAGATGCTCCTGCTGTTTGTCGTCACGCAATTCCTGAATTCTTTCCGACACCAGGTTGTGAAGAAGCAGCATTGCCTTGGAGTATACTTGAAATGCTTTCAATAAAGATGATATATCAGCTGCAGTTCCTACTTGAGAAAGACACTGCAAGAGCCAGTCAGCAGCTGCAGTGATCTTCCTCACAGTTGCATCATCTTCCACTAGAAGGATCTGTAGAGCCAAAAACAAGTGGAATCTGTTAGTTTTCAATCATGCAGTTCATGTCTGGATGGGGTAAAGCTTGTTCTACAATACTCAAGAGAACTGAGTTTTAATGAGTTTAGGCAGAGGGTTAGGAGTTTGGTCAAAGCCATTCTCTTGAGGTGTTCAGTCCTGTTACCGAAGAGAACCGGACTGGACTCTTACCAACTCCAATAAGCTGCATTCCACTTTATTTTTAGACAAACACTTGTAGACTTTACTGTCGACGTTCCCACCCCCACTGCTATTTTAAAGTGCATTCTACTTTATCAGGTGAACAAGGAAAGCTTATACCATCGATCCCTCAATTTCGACTGTGGGAGCATGTCGGCTTCATATGTCCACTCCAGCACCTTTATGTCCCAAAATGCAATGTAATTGTGACATCACAACCAGGGCCGGCGCGTCCATTAAGGCGACCTAGGTGGCCGCCTAGGGGGGCAGTATAGAGAGGGCGGCGTCCGCGATACCTCCCTTACCACCCGCATCCTCAGTTATGTCCGCGACACCTCCCTCACCACTCATATATACTCATATATATACACCTCAGATATATTCGCGCATAGACGACAGAATAGAGAGGGCGGCGTCAGGGACACCTCCATCAGCAGCAACCGCGTGTCTTCAGTTATATCTGCGCATAGGGCGGCAGAATTAAGGTCCGTGACACCCGCGCGTCCTCAGTTATATCCGCGCATAGGGTGGCAGAATAGAGAGAGCGGTGTCCGCGACACCTCCCTCCCTCCCTACTACAGCACCCGCGCGTCCTCAGTTATATCCGCGTATAGGGCGGCAGAAAAGAGGTCCGCGACACCTCACTTCATTTTCAAAAACTGGTCACTTTCGTTTCCACATTGGGGTTGAGGGCGGCGTGATCGTCCTCTGCCTAGAGCGGCAGTTCAGCTTGCTCCGGCCCTGATCACAACATTGTAAATCCCAAGTGCTTAAGGATTTAAGGCTTTTTATTTAAACCCATTCAGATGCTCCGCCAGAAATGAACACTTGTGCAACTTAATCAATGATGTACATCCGAGTGAACGAGAAAGAGGCATTGGCGAGTGGAGGCCATAAAACATTTGACTGAAATGCAGCCCTTGATGGACTAGTTCTGATGTTTAATTTGGGTAGGGGCTGAATTTGCTGAACAGTGGTCCTACCTTTTTACCGCATGAAAAACAATGTATTTACCTAGGAGACCAGGATTAAATATTTAGTGAAGTTTATTTATAAACAAATTTCAAGAGGATCACGTGCTTATGATTGTTCACAGATGTTCCAACTTTAGCTAATGACTAATTATCCTATCAGACGATCCTTAACTCACTATAAATAACCAGACTTTTCTCATCTCAATATCTTCGTCTTGAAGAAACCCCCCCACCCAACCCTACTTTCCCTCCTTTCAAACAGGCGACACGGTGGCCAGTGATTAGCGCTGTTGCCTCACAGCAAAAATGCCCCTGGTTTAATTCCTTTTCAAACCAGGCGACATTTCTGTGCGGAGTTTTGCTCGTTCTCCCCGTGATCGCGTAGGTTTCCACCGGGTCCTCCGGTTTCCTCCCTCAGTTAAAAAACAAGCACCCTAAATAATCCAAAATATTTTAACCAAACTCTGAGTACACCTTCTCAGCATCCATATCTGATACCTAACTACAATAAGCAGGAGGGGGAGTCATCGAGATCTACCCGAGATCTCTCTCCCGGGACAGCACGCCAAACAAGCTTTATTATCAGCTGTGAATGTGACTTATCAAGTGTGAACTCTTGAAATATAATTTATTTAATGCCTAAAAATGTGTATGCATGGTTGTCATAACAGAACAGCATGGAGGAGAAAGAGAGAGGTGGAGAAAGATGGCGAGTCGCGCACCAAGTGACTTAGTCTCGAAAAAGAACACAACTTCTGCAGTTTAACAGGATTTTAGGTTTTGACTCAACGAGGAGGGAAAGACGTTAAATACGGATGGAAATACCTCAAACCTAAGGTCACATATAGGGTATTCAGTTTCTGAACGATTTAGGCACCAGCCAGCAGTTTGACGACGCTGTCTGAGACTTACATCATAATTTTGTATTATGAACGATAATACTGTATACCAAGGTAAAATAGGGAGATGGTTTGACAGTATCAAAATTTAGGCTAGTCCTGCATTAACATGTATGGTGTGGACTCCCTAGATGTAGAGATAACCTACAGACATCTGAGCCAAGGTTTGTTCTCCATTTCACACTTAGAGTTCACACTTAGATAATGCTCGACTATAATAGCAGGTTTGGCATGCTCTCCTGGGAGAGAAGTCTAAGCTCGGAGATAGATGAGCCCAAAGTTCCCGACTGGTCAATGAGCATTAGGAGGGATACGAGATCAGGTACTTCTCAAGTGCCCCAAATTATGCTTTGGCTAAGATGGTGGTTCTGATTGATTCAGGATATATTTGTCAAGTGCTTGTGACTGTTATTACAATTTGTTTATGTACTTGGTTTTTAGACTGTGGGAGGAAACCGGAGGACCCACACAAACACGGGGAGAACATGCAAACTCTGCGCAGGGAGGGCCGACTGGCTTAATTAGAACTTGAACCTTTGGCCCACCTGTTGCGAGGCAGTAGTGCTAGCCACTGAGCTGCCGTGTCGCCTAATCAAGAATGGGGAGGAGGAAGGAGGAAAGGATGGGGGAGGGGTGGGGGTGGGGTGGTAACGGATCATATCACATGCTCCTCTTGAAATTAGTTTGTGAAACTTCACTTCGTGTTTGAGCGCCACTAAGTGGTGTTTTACTGTAACTTCAGCAGCTCAAGGCACATGAAAAAAAGTTTTTAACGCAGCATGTCAAACCAAAATAAAAATAAGCCTGAGGATTGAAAAGAAAAAGAAAAGACAAGCCTGTTGTTTTGCACAATGACACTCTTTGTTTAGTCGTGAGGCATTAAATGTCATCCCTTTAGGGTCCCATTTGAGATTGGGCCGACTACGTTTGAGGTTGGTGGAAAGTCAGAACCCAACTCCAACACAAAAAGGCATATATACATTTGCAGGATAAAGAAAATCTCAAACTTCTCCATTTAGTGCTTATCTTCCTAACAAAAACCAAAGGTACCTTGACTACACCCAACAGCAGATTTTGAGTGGCCTCAATGAGCTCTTCTCTGTGCTCTATGACCTCTGGCTGAATGCTGAGCTTTTGGGTGGCCAGGAGCACATGTTGACCCGAAACAGTCAGAGATTCCACCAGTGGCTCCATTTCCATCTTCAGGAGATCGTCTTCAGCGTCCACCACCAGTCTGAATGCAAGAATATGAGGTATTACATGAAACTCTGTGCACAGCATCTACACATTTAGAAAACAAACCACAAATTTACCATGAATACCATGAAATTGGATTTTTTAAGTAGCGATGGTACTAAGTTTAAATTATGATTACCAGCATAAATTTATTATTTTTTTTTTCATTACCAGCTGTTTTCTCTTAAGCATGCATGTTGCTTTTTAAAGTTTAGTTTATTATTATTTTTTTACCCTTAAAAGATAACTCATTGAAATACTCATCCGAAATTCCCTGAAGTGTTACTGGGGTTATTACAGGACTTTTAAACTTTTATTAAATATTAAAAATGATTGAAATCAATGAAGGTACCATATATTCTTCACCAAAAAAGACTTTAACACAGCTCTTTTAATTCCAATAATATATGCAATTGTCTGTTTTTGTGAGACAAAGCAACATATATAGTACATATTTAAACCAATTAAATTAGGAGTACCTCAGGGATCTATTTTAGGACCTTTACTTATTACTATTTATATAAATGATTTACCAGCTATACGCATTGATGTCGATTTATTAATGTACGTTGATGATGCTTTGCTTTACACTCATGGAAAAAATCCAACAGAACTTGGTACTAAATTAACAAATGAAATGCAAAATGTTTTCAAATGGTTGCAAAGTTCAAACCTTACTCTAAATGTTGAACAGACTGTATCCATGTGCTTCTCAAATAGGTATAAAGTTGGAAATGTTTTAGAAATTTTTATAAATGGGCAAAGTATTAAAAATGTCACTGAATTCAAATATTTAGGCATCATGTTGGACTCAAACCGTAATTTTAAAACTGATATTAAAAAACTTGCTACCATACTGAGATTTAATCTAAGAAATTTTAAACATATAAGAGATTCCCTGAATTATGAGGCCTCTGGTATGTATTTAAATACTATGATTGTGTTGGATTCTTTACATTTGTTTTACTGTTTAATGAGCTGGTAATTTTTGTGCATTGTCCCTGTTAATTTCATTCATTCATTCATTCATTCATTCATTCATTCATTCAATATATTTACTGTATATACAGTACTAAACATTTACATGCTTTCTGCTCTCTCAGGAAAAATGTGTGCAGCTCACCTTGTTGCTACAGCGGCCATGTTTTTGGAAGCTTTGGTCACGGTTTTAGCTGCATCCTCCAGCCGGGTGAAATCCTCCAGTTCTGTCTGGCTCCCGCACAGCAGGATGAGGTGACACAGGTGAGTGGACAGAGGAGCCACAACCTGCTCTATTGAGCCTGTTTTTATTAAGCCATCCTCCAGTATAGATGCCATCGCTCTTGCACAAGTATTTTCAATGCGTGCGTGTCAATATGCAAATTCAACTAAATGCATCTTAATTTCTAAATGCATTAAAAGTCATGTGCAACTAAATTTGATATTTTTAACAGCGAATATAATAAATAGCCAATTTCAGATCAGCTGGTTTAAAATGAGGTGATGTTCTTTGCTAGTGGATGTATTAAAAATGTACCTGGTGGTGTAGGAGCTGCCTGCAACTGCTCTGCCTGTCACACACTAGCTGCTAATAAATAATGCAGTGCAGACGGCGCAGTTTGTTTGGCTTTCAGATGGCCCTTGGTAACCAAAGTCATTCATCTCAACCTAATTAAAAAGTGAGGTAAAGAGCTAATGCATATATTAAATATATCAATATTAAAACATTTGCATGTCTGTGCAGTTTTATTCATTTTAATGTCTAATATTTTGGATAGTTATTAATAACAATTGCTTGACTTTATGCAAACATGTAATTCTATCCATCATTTTAAATAGCTATCATTCTTATTTATAGTAATACTAATAATAAACTAAGAATGTATCCCACAGTATATTTCCACTCGTTTCCAGTATGATTGAACCAAACATGCTACACTGCCTGACAAATATCTTGTCGTCGATCTCAATATCTTGTTGTTGATCATTTGGGAAAGTGTCAGAAGGACGATTTTTCAGACAAATCAACTGTTGAGCTGCATCCCAATCACCACAAATACTGCAGAAGACCTACTGGAACCCACATGGACCCAAGATTCACTCTCAGAAATCAGTCAAGTTTGGTGAAGGAAAAATCATGGTTTGGGGTTACATTCAGTATGGGGGAGTGCGAGAGATCTGCAGAGTGGACGGCAACATCAACAGCCTGAAGTATCAAGACATTTGTGCTGCCCATTACATTACAAACCACAGGAGAGGGACAATTCTCCAGCAGGATAGCGCTCCTTCTCATACTACAGCCTCCACATCAAAGCTCCTGAAAGCAAAGAAGGTCAAGGTGCTCCAGGATTGGCCAGCCCAGTCACCAGACCTAAACGTTATTGAGCATGTTTGGGGTGAGATGAAGGAGGAGGCATTGAAGACGAATCCAAAGAATCTTGATGAACTCTGGGAGTCCTGCAGGAACGCTTTCTTTGCCATTCCAGATGACTTTATTAATCAGTGATTTGAGTCATGTCAGAGATGTATGGATGCAGTCCTCCAAGCTCATGATGGAGTCAGACACAATATTCATTCTGTCTCCACTGCAGCATGACTTTATATTCTATACTGGACATTATTTATGTTCAGTCACAAGACTTTTGTCTAAGCAAAGTCAGACCTTACTGTCCCAAATAAATCATTCAAAATCAAGGCATAATCAGATTTTATTTGGGTCAAATAAGCGTAATCTAGAGGTCTTTGCCTTTCATATGAGCCACTTCAGATACCAAATAATCAACTAGAAGTCGAGCTACTATTTGTTGTTCCTAAAACCTGATAAGCAACAAGACTTTTGTCAGTGTACACTCTCAGAAATAAAGGTACAAGAGCCTGTCACTTGGGTGGTACCTGTAATTAAAGGGTCCATATTGGTACCTCAAAAGTATATATTAGTACCCAAAAATTTTGAGAGGAACACTTTTGTACTTTTTAGGTACTAATATAAACCCTTGAGGAATTAATATGGACCCTTTAGGCACAAATGTGTACTCTTTTGAAAAGGTACCACCCCAGTGACAGCTCACATACCTTTATTTCTGAGAATGTATAAGCTGATTTTTTAATACATGTAATATTATTAGATTGCTTCACCAAAAGTCAGAAATGTCCTACAATTCAAAATAACCTTTATTAAATACATAACTTTTAAACATTTTAAAATCTTACATTTCTTATTGTAGCACTAAATTATATACATTTTAAAATAGTATATATATTTTATAATGAATTTGGTCACACAATGAAGACCACAAGAAGAATATGCACTTCGGCACGGTATGAACGCTACACTAGTTTTCCGCTAGAGGGCATCATTGCACCAAGTAAATCTGCTCTGCACTAAATATTTGGGTGGCACCGAATAAATCCAACACGAAACATCTGTTTGTGATTTTTAATTTGAAAATGGCAGTTTCAAGAGATAAATATACAGCTTGAGCTTGTACAACAAACATATTCCTTAATACATCTATACAACTGAAATTCAGTGACAGTAGTTTATTCTAAAATGCTCAAAATAGGTGATAATGGCAACAACACTCACAGTTATGGTACACACTTACAATGTCAAGTCTCTCTTAGTAAAAAAAAAAAAAACACCTATGAAGAATCAGGCCAGAAATCCAGACGTGTTTTTGCCAAGCAAGTGGTGATTATGGATCTATCATTTACCTTCAGCTCAGTCCCTTATTAATCAGGTGTTGCCACAGCGGAATTAACCGCCAACTATTCCAGCATGTGTTTTACACAGTGGATGTCCTTCCAGCTGCAACCCAGTACTGGGAAAGATTATTAATCAAATAAACCATACGTTTTTCTTAGGAAATCATGTAATATCCAATTGATAAAGGCCGATGAAAATTTCATTTTCAAACAAACCCTCCCAAAATGAGAGATCAGGGGTCACCAAATTTACTCCAGGAGGGTCGGTGTACTGCAGATTTTAGCACCAACCCTAATCAAACATATCTAAATAAGCTAATCAAGGTCTTACTAGGTATACTTGAAACATCCAGGCAGGTGTGGTGAGGCAAGTTGAAGCTAAACCCCGCATGGACACCGAGATTGGTAACCCCTTATGTAGAAAAACATGCAACCAAGTTTAATCAGTAAACCTAAGAAGCCTACTATTTTCAAGCTCGGTTTGAGTGTTGAAGCAGAATGTTTGTGACGTCCAAAATGTTGACTTAAAACAAGCTGTTCCCATCAGCTTCAGTGATGAATACTGCACATTCTCATCTATTTTAGTCTGGGTAAAACCTGGGTCTATGCAGTCTTCAAAAAAAAAAAAAGAAATGTGTTTAAAAAACAGGAGACACACAGTAATACGTCATGTTTACTGTAGAAGAAAATATGCAGAACATGCTTGTAAATCCAGTCCGAATGTTTGCAGAATATTTGGCAGATTTAAAGTGTTTTATTAGTGAGCCGACTTGGAATGTGTCTCTTATATAACGTTCTGCAGATGAGTGTTTATCTTGACATCCTGAAGTCAAACTAATTGCGACATTTCTGAGAGGATTTGATTTCGCTGGTTATGAATGGAGTAAGATTGTGGAGATATCTGATAGGTAGTTTGGAAAATAAGGTAAAAAGGTCATATGTTTTTGGTGGAAGGTTATGAAGGTGAAATAACGTGCATCTTTCAGTGGGTCAATATCCAGTGCGGTACAAATAATGCTCCAAGCTGTGAATTTCACATATAATGAACAAAATGTGTTTGAGCTAAGAATGTGTTTTTTTTTTAGCACAACTGGACTGAAATGAACACCTCGAGCAGTTACAATGACGTCTGTTTTTGTTTTTTTGCAATAACTGTTCATCCACATGACATTCAAGGTACATTGACATATAAAAGCAACACTTGTTTTGGAAATAGCTCCCCCTAGAGTAAAAAAACATTTGAGTTTTACCATTTTTTAAATCCATTCAGCCAATCTTCGGGTCTGGCGGTAGCACTTTTAGCTTAGCTTAGCATAGATCATTGAATCAGATTAGACCATTAGCATCTTGCTCAAAATGTGACTACTTTTAATAACTTTCCTATTTGAAGGAACACCTTTATTTTAGTAATAGGCTAATTTTACAGCTCTCTATAGAGTAAAACAGCTGAGTTTAACCATTTTTTTTATCCATTCAGCCGATCTTTGGGTCTGGTGGGAGTACTTTTAGCTTAGCTTAACATAGATCTGTGAATCAGATTAGACTATTAGCATCTTGCTCAAAATGTGACTACTTTTAATAACTTTCCTATTTAAAGGACACCATTATTTTAGTAATAGGCTCATTTTACAGCTCTCCCTAGAGTTTAAAAGCTGAGTTCAACCATTTTTTAAACCATACAGCCAATCTTTGGGTCTTTTAGCTTAGCTTAGCATCTATCATTGAATCCATTAGCATCTTGCTCAAAATTTAGTAGTTTTGATAACTTGTCTTTTTAAAATAACACCTTTATTTTAGTAATAGTTTAATTGAGTTTTACCATTTTTTAAATCCATTCAGCCAATCTTCGGGTCTGGCGGTAGCACTTTTAGCTTAGCTTAGCATAGATCATTGAATCAGATTAGACCATTAGCATCTTGCTCAAAATTGACTACTTTCAATAACTTTCCTATTTGAAGGAACACCTTTATTTTAGTAATAGGCTCATTTTACAGCTCTCTATAGAGTAAAACAGCTGAGTTTAGCCATTTTTTTAATCCATTCAGCCGATCTTTGGGTCTGGTGGGGGTACTTTTAGCTTAGCTTAACATAGATCTGTGAATCAGATTAGACTATTAGCATCTTGCTCAAAATGTGACTACTTTTAATAACTTTCCTATTTAAAGGACACCATTATTTTAGTAATAGGCTCATTTTACAGCTCTCCCTAGAGTTTAAAAGCTGAGTTCAACCATTTTTTAAACCATACAGCCAATCTTTGGGTCTTTTAGCTTAGCTTAGCATCTATCATTGAATCCATTAGCATCTTGCTCAAAATTTAGTAGTTTTGATAATTTTTCTTTTTAAAATAACACCTTTATTTTAGTAATAGGCTCATTTTACAGCTCTCTATGGAGTAAAACAGCTGAGTTTAACCATTTTTTAATCCATTCATCCGATCTTTGGGTCTGGTGGGAGTACTTTTAGCTTTGCTTAGCATAGATAATTGAATCAGATTAGACCATTAGCATCTTGCTCAAAATTGACAAGTTTTAATAAGTTTGCTATTCAAAGAAACACCTTTATTTTAGTAACAGGCTCATTTTACAGCTCTCCCTTGAGTTAAACAGCTGAGTTTAACCATTTTTTAAACCATACAGCCAATCTTTGGGTCTTTTAGCTTAGCTTAGCATAGATTATTAAATCAAATTAGACCATTAGCATCTTGCTCAAAATTGACCAGTTTCAATAATTTTCCTATTTAAAGGAACACCTTTATTTTATTAATATTTTAATAATTTTACAGCTCTCCCTAGAGTTAAACAGCTGAGTTTAATCATTTTTTGAACCATATGGCCAATCTTCGGGTCTTTTAGCTTAACTTAGCATAGATCATTAAATAAGATTAGACCATTAGCACATCACTCAAAAATAACCAGTTTCAATAACTTTCCTATTCAAAGGAACACTCCACTAGTTTAGTAAGATGCTCATTTTACAGCTCCCCTAGAATAAAACTGCTGAGTTTTACTTCTTTTTTTTCCATTCAGGTAATCTCTGGGTCCAGCGGGAGCACTTTTATCTTAGCACAGATCAATTAATCAGATTGGATCATATTCAATAACTTTGCCATTTATAGAAATGGTCCACTTATTTTATTTTATTTTTTTAGCAATGGGTCATTTTACAGCTCCCCATAGAGTTAAACAGCTGAGTTTTACCAGTTTTGAATCTAGCGGGAGCGCTTTTAGCTTAACTTACCTTAGCAGAGATCACTGATTCAGATTAGACCATTAGGGTATCGCTCTGACCAATGACCAATTTTAATAACTTTCCTATTTAAAAGAACACCTTTACTTTAGTAATAAGCTCATTTTACAGCTCCCCATAGAGTTAAACAGCTGAGTTGAACCATTTTTGAATCCATTCAGCCGATCTACGAGTCTGGTGGGAGCGCTTTTAGCTCAGCCATTGAATCAGATTAGACCATTAGCATGTGGTTCAAAATTGACTAGTTTTCTATTTAAAGCAGTGGTCACCAAACTTGTTCCTGGAGGGCCGGTGCCCTACAGATTTTCTAATCAAACTCACCTGAACAAGCTAATCAAGGTCTTACTAGGTATACTTGAAACATCCAGGCAGGTGTGTTTCGGCAAGTTGGAGCTAAACCCTGCAGGGACACCGGCCCTCCAGGGCCGAGATTGGTGACCCCTGATTTAAAGAAACACTCTAATTTAGTAATAGGTTCATTTTACAGCTCTCCATAGTTAAACAGCTGAGTTTAACCATTTTTAATTTATTCACCTGATTTTCATGTCTGGCAAAGCACTTTTAGCACAGCGTAGCACAGATCCAGACAATCCCAAGTCTTCTGGAAGTCTTCCGTATATGCACAGAGACTTCCGGGCGCCCACATATGAACAATAATCTCTCGGAAATCGCGCTTTTCCCAGTCCTCGAATATGTCATGCACCCCTCTCCACTGCATCCCTCCCAGGGTATTCAAATACGTTGCACACATCCCCCTCCAATCCCCCCGCCCCACGTTCTTTAAATACGTGATGCACCAACCACTCCATCCCCGCTCCCCCAAAACTCCTGCAACCTCCCGCAAATCACCTGGAAATAACTTTTCCCAAGTTGGGATTTCTGCAGATCACTCAATCAAGGAACTTTCATATTTGATATCGCAATAATTTGATGCAGTTTTTTTATCATTACGTCAGAATGAATATAGTTTCTGGCCATATTAGCCTAGAAAATAACATCTTTTCATATTCTGTCTTAGTACATGATGTAACTACACAAGAGCCAAGCTTTAAATAGGAAGATCATTGAAAGTCTTGATGCTAACGGTCTAATTCGATTCAAACATCTATGCTAAGCTAAGCTAAAAGTGCTCCCGACAGACCTGAAGTTTGGCTGAATGAATTCAAAAATGGCCAAACTCAACTCAGGAGTGTTCCTTTAACCATGTACTAAAGACAATATTTAGATGTTCAAAAACCCATTGTCAGGTCCCCAAGACGATGCCATTGTGTAAACGACCATCGTAAATGTTCTAGTTGAAGTCATGCAAACACTCCAAAGTAACTCAAGAGTTTCCCAACTGAAGGACCTTTGCTTTGCATTCTCTGTGAATGAACAGAGGACAAAGAGGTGCAGTTTGTGTTGATCTGAAAAGCACCCAGGAATAACGTCCGCTCTTTAGTCATCAGTGCTTTGAAAACATCTCTTGAAGCTCTCTTCTCCTATACAGTATGGAATACATTTTATAAAAAATAGATTTTTTGCTTTTTCAACAGCGCCCTGAGGGTTGTAATTGTCTGCTAGTATTGACACAATATCCACATCCGTTCCAGGAAATCTCTCTTTCCGTCTCTTCAGACCCATCGGCGAGAGGCTTTTCCCATTGGGAGCAATGGAATCCACTGTGAGTCTTTTTTGTCTCTTCCAAACGTCAACCAAACAACAACAACAGAAAATAAAAAAAAAAGTGTCAAACCTCCGGAAAATCGGGAGAATATTCTTTTCTTCCACATATGGAAGGCTGGAGGGCCATGGTGAAGGTAGCAGCTTATTGGATTTTCTGAACCCAATCCAAGCTCTCATTGGCTCTTCTGGACCCAATCCCAGCTTTCATCGCTGTCCTTCCTGTTCTTTTCCGCTTCTATGATCTCTCGGTAATGCCTCCTGAAGAATCCCATCTGCAAAACACAGGAATAATAGTGTGTCAGCAAACAGGGAGGGACAGTGGACAGATGTACTGACAAAATCACACCCCGCTTCCCAAGAAAAACACATCTGATCTGATCTGATCTGGACTCTTACAAAATACTCGATATATTCACATGAATAAACGGACAAAATATGCAACCGTACAAACGTTTTCAGAAATAATTACTTTATTGATAACAAATGACAGAAGACTTATGCTACAAATTTGAGTATAAATAAATGCTGCTCAATTGAGTTTCCAAGTTTTCAACTTTAAAATATATTTTAATCATCATATTTACGTTATATAATCATGATTCACAGTTTTTTATGTTTATTTACAGTTATGAATTGCATTATGGGACTTTTATCTCTGCTCTTTTGACTTTTAGTCAAGAACCTAGCTGTTTAGTTTAACAGTGTTTTTTTTTTATCTTAAAATGGTTCATAAAAGATTAAAAACTGCTTTTATTCTTTCTCCAGAAAAAAAAAAATTATCAGACATACTGTGAAAATTTCCTTGCTCTGTTAAACATCATTTGGGAAATATTAAAAGAAAATAAGGGGCGAGGCAGTGGCGCAGTAGGTAGTGCTGTCGCCTCACAGCAAGAAGGTCGCTGGTTTGAACCTCCGCTCAGTTGGCGTTTATGTGTGTAGTTTGCATGCTCTCCCTGCCTTCGCATGGGTTTCCTCCCGGTGCTCTGGTTTCCCCCACAGTCCAAAGACATGCGGTACAGGTGAATTGGGTAGGCTAAATTGTCTGTAGTGTATGAGTGTGTGTGTGAATGTGGATGTTTCCCAGAGATGGGTTGCGGCTGGAAGGGCATTCATTGTGTAAAAACTTGCTGGATAAGTTGGCGGTTCATTCCGCTGTGGCGACCCTGGATTAATAAAGGGACTAAGCCGACAAGAAAATGTATGAATGAATGAATGAAAAGAAAATAAGAAAAAAAATTGAAAGCGGGGCTAATAATTCTGACTTAAACTGTATATATACAACAGTTCTGTCTGGTTCTCGAGTCTGATTGGCTGATAGCAGAGCGATATTCTGCAATAACAGCACTCGTACAGCCTCTTCACCCTTGCGTATTACTCCGCCCACATAGAGTGACAGCAGATCAATAAACTCACTACAGTTTGACAAATAGTGCAGCTGTTGGACAACATAATGTACTTTTGAGGCTTTTAGGTGAGAATGTAGTTATTTAGATTGCAACTATGCTGTTTATTTATAAGGATAGTGCCTATTTTAAATATGATTAGTTTCTAGATTCAGTGCGTCAGGGCCCATCAGCCTGTCATGCCAGCAGAGCAAATTCTGTTGCACCACAAGATGGTGACAGAGAATGCATAATAAGTTATTAGAGGAGAAAAACTCAGCGTTTCGTGTTTGAAACTGCAGCTGATCAAATCATTATAAAACCAGTAAAAGACATTCTAAGTCGATCTCTCTCTTTTGTATGTTGTAGTGCTGTATTTATACCAGAGTAATCTGCTAGTGTTTGCTTTGGCTTTTTTGGGGTTAATTATTGTGATCTCCCGTTTGCAACAGAGAAATACTGGGAAATCTGTAGACTGATGGAATTATATGGCGTATCTTGTGTGAGCAAAATCATCTGTTTTGTCATCGCTTTAGATATTACGCTAGAGAATCATTCAAACACTAGCTCTAAAGTGATGTTGGTGTAGTGGCAATGGTTTCTGCTGTTCTGACGTTAGCTACAGATGTGAATGAATGTAGGAAGAAAGTAGTTCTTCATACAAAAGGGTTTTAGACTATAAACGCAAAATCACACAAGTAGCATTGCGATATGGCTGTATATCTGCATTAGTGGGACACTAAGGCAACGCATGCCTCCCACCAGTGCAGTGCATACAGCTATATCACACTGCTACTCATGAGATATTGCTCATATATATACAGTTGAAGTCAGAATTATTAGCCCCCCTGAATTATTCACCCCAGTGTTTAATTTTTCCCCTATTTCTGTTTAACGGAGAGAAGATTTTTTCAGCACATTTCTAAACATCATAGTTTTAATAACCCATTTTTAATAACTGATTTATTTAATTTGTCATGATCATAGTAAATAATATTTTACTAGATGTTTTTCAAGACACTTCTATACAGCTAAAAGTGACATTTAAAGGCTTAACTAGGTTAATTAGGTTAACTAGGCAGGTTAGGGTAATTGGGCAAGTCATTGTATAGTGATGGTTTGTTCTGTAGACTATCAGAAAAAAATATTGCTTAAAGGAGCTAATAATTTTGACCTTAAAATGGTGTTTAAAAAAATTAAAAAGTGCTTTTATTATAGCCGAAATCAAACAAATAAGACTTTCTTCAGTAGAAAAAATATTATCAGACATACTGTAAAAAATTCCTCACTCTGATAAACATCATTTGGGAAATATTAATAAAAAATAATAATAAATTCAAAAGGGGGAGAATAATTCTGACTTCAACTATATATAGTCTATAACAGAAAAAGTGCTATCCAGGATTTACTACCAGGATTAGTTCCATAATTTACAAAAACAACCACCAGTATATCACAAATATGTCAGTAAATAACAAAATGATCACTATACTATAATGCAATTCAAAAGCATAAATAAATGAAATAAAATAAAATAAAACTGTTAATTTCTGAATATTTGTACAGTATTTATTATGTTTTATAAGTTTTTCTCAATTGTAAAATTATTTCACAGTATTACAGTTTTTATTTGATTTTTGATCAAATAAATACAGCCCAAATGAGACTTTAAAAACAAAGTCTTGAACATATGAGTTCTAGTAGAGAAATGAATCTAAATCTATTGCTTTTGACTGGCAGATCAGATAAACCCAAACTAATGCAGTCCCGCTGTTACAGATACAGTATAGGCAGGAAAATATTGATTTAATCACATTAAAATGAGTTTATGAAAATAGCGAGTCCTGACCCAACACAAGAACAGGTTTCATTATGGAATCCCTCATGAATGATGGTATTTACACTGGAATGCTTGATCATATTATCTAGGTATCCAACAATATTTATACATCCTATAATTTACAATAGTAAGGTATCATGTGTTCTTAATGCCTGGACTGAGTATTTAAGTCAGGCTATGTTGGAAACTTAATGAAATGTGAGATGTCCCATTAAAGTGTGGATATAAAATTGTATGCATAAAAAACATTTTAATGCAAGTCATACGTTTAAAATTTAAAATTTTGTAAAAAATATGTCAAAATATGGGTGAAATAAAGTTTCATCATCTTTCAGCGTAACAGATGTATTCATGCTGAAATGAAACCATAAACTAATTCTGACCTGTACTTATTGAAATATATAAATGAATGTGATCTAATTTAAATAATATTAGCACTATTCTATAGCAAAATATTTTCTTCTAATAAATTCTCATTGCTAACTAATGGGTAAAACCTAATATTTTTGTTAAAGGATGGAGCAAAATGTAAACATTTCAATTCTTAGTCAACATTTTGGAGTCTCTGCATGGTGCAAGAAGAATCATAGTATACAGATAAGTCATTTTATATTTATTTAGTTGAATTGTTGGTTTCACTGGTTGTTATTTAAGATTATTGCATGGCTGTCTGGATAACTCGATTCTGACTGGTCAATTGCAATATTTCAAGGTATGTTATTCCCAGATAACAACCGCAAAATAACACAGGCTCATCTGGGAACTTCGAATCACCTTGACTGTCATTGAGTACGTTCACATCCATATTCTTACACACATTCATATGTATCTGCTTGTCTGTCATGCTTCGGTTTTGACAGCTTTGGTTAGTGTCTACTCCATCAGCTGTTTTCAGTTCTGTCAGCTTTGTGTTTTTGACTGTTTGGTGCCATCTTGTGTCTGAATAATGCGCAGGTTAGTGTGTACTTCATAAGCTGTTTTCGATTATGTCAGCTTTTCGTTTTTGACTGTTTGGCGCCATCTTGTGTCTGAATAATGCGCAGGTTAGTGTATACTCCATCAGCTGTTTTCGATTCTGTCAGCTTTTCGTTTTTGACTGTTTGGTGCCATCTTGTGTCTGAATAATGCGCAGGTTAGTGTGTACTTCATAAGCTGTTTTCGATTATGTCAGCTTTTCGTTTTTGACTGTTTGGCGCCATCTTGTGTCTGAATAATGCGCAGGTTAGTGTGTACTTCATAAGCTGTTTTCGATTATGTCAGCTTTTCGTTTTTGACTGTTTGGCGCCATCTTGTGTCTGAATAATGTGCAGGTTAGTGTATACTCCATCAGCTGTTTTCGTTTCTGTCAGCTTTGTGTTTTTGGCTGTTTGGCCCCATCTAGTGTCTGAATAATGCACAGGTTAGTGTATACTCCATCAGCTGTTTTCCTTTCTTACAGCTTTGTGTATTTAACTGTATGACACCATCTTGTGTCTGAATAATGCGCAGGTTAGTGTATACTTTATCAGCTGTTTTTAGTTCTGTCAGCTTTGTGTTTTTGTCTGTTTGTCTCCATCTTGTGTCTGAATAATGCGCAGGTTAGTGTCTACTCCATCAGCTGTTTTCGCTTCTGTCAGCTTTGTGTTTTTGACTGTTTGGTGCCATCTTGTGTCTGAATAATGCGCAGGTTAGTGTATACTCCATCAGCTGTTTTCGTTTCTGTCAGCTTTTGCGTTTTTGACTGTTTGGCGCCATCTTGTGTCTGAATAATGCGCAGGTTAGTGTATACTCCATCAGCTGTTTTCGTTTCTGTCAGCTTTGTGTTTTTGGCTGTTTGGCCCCATCTAGTGTCTGAATAATGCACAGGTTAGTGTATACTCCATCAGCTGTTTTTGTTTCTGTCAGCTTTGTGTTTTTGACTGTTTGGTGCCATCTAGTGTCTGAATAATGCACAGGTTAGTGTATACTCCATCAGCTGTTTTTGATTCTGTAAACTTTGCGTTTTTGACTGTTTGGCTGTAATTGTTATAAAGTAATTCCAGGAGGGTTGTTTTCCCAAAATAAAACCCTT